GACTTTTCAGTAACCCGCCACATAAAATGTACTACCCCCTATGTGGTGGTAACGGCCTTATTATCAGGAGATACTCATAGCGCGGGACAATGGGGGCCGCCAACTATCTTCACAGCCAACGTGTATGAGCGTGAAGTAAGCCAGGGCGAGACGCGGGACGATGCGACACAGATGGCCAAAACAAGTGAGGCGAAACAAACACTAGCGTAACGGCGGCTGAGGGGGCAACCGGGGAGGTCGACAGCCGAGAATAGAGCTGCAATTACACGCGATCAACACACGGCAACCTCGCCGAGACTGATGGCATACACGCACACGGAAAAAGAGCGTCATATAAGGAGAACCAGGAGCCGGAGTATTCGGTCTTTGCATATGGGTAGACGAGACAACTACCCGAAACGTCAGACACCAATAAGCTTATCCCGGTAAACGCTTCACCTTCGTCCGATATGCAGGTTCTTTTTCTACGACCCTATGGATCACATTTTAATTACTGCTAGGAGGTATATGAGTACTAACATCTTCGACTTGCAGACATTGCTTGACAAACAAACTTGGCGAGGAGTGCCGGTTTGATAGTTAGATTCAATCGATGTCGGTATCCGTCGACATTCTACTAACAATCCTCTGCATCCTAGGTGTTTGAAGTCCCTGGCATACAAGTAAATGGATAATAAGAGTCAGAATTTGTTCGGTCTTTGCGCTTCCTGCACAAATAGCATTTAGGTCGTTTTGAAAAAGTTTTGAGACGTACTAGGTGACACCGATAACATCGCTCCTTCGACTGTGTTACTACTAAGAATAAATTATGAGGTGCAAACACGTATACAGTACGGTCGGTATTTCAGGCAAAATGCCGAAATTCGCGAAAGATTGATAATCACTTGCAAAGCGGCATTAAGTGGGATTGTAAAACTGATTATCATACAGCCTAATCTCAAGTACTTTCAGTCACCTCAGGAAGCTGACTTGTTAACGAGCTCCTTTATGAGCGCTTCCAAAGAACAAAAATGACCACATAAGTAGTGTGCATTTAATTCACTGATTTTCCCCGCTCTTTTAAATTTAAATCTATTCTATAGAAAACACTCACAAAATTATTCTTCCTTGTACTTGTTTAGTAGAAAATTACGCCTTCTTTAACTTTTATACGTAAAGAAAGGGCATATTTCCCAATACTTATTAAACCTTCCGACCGTTAAACTTAAATTCAGGGTTTCCAATCTGCACGCTGTGTGCGTCCTGTCTAAGGAAAACCACGGCTTTCTCTTCACTATGAGGGAACGGTCATATACTTCTCATAAAGTTTCCCAATAGGCGTGGATCATGCTGTATGTATTATAGAAAACACCAATAAATTGACGGATATGATGTATTATGAATGAACACATCACGGTTCTAAGAAATCTCATAATAAGACATTTTTGTAAAAGTGTGATTAAACTTACGGTGTGAAGCGCGACATTCGTAGCTCAAGTAGGTAGAGCGTTGGCTTGCG